CTTTTGGACACGCCAGGAGGAGCTGCACTGAGCTTGTCTCAGCTAGAAGTCACTCTTAGACTTTGCATAGCTTACAGGTGGAGTCATGGCTTAGTAGTTTCAGTCTGTTTTGCCCTAGACGTTGTTGTGTTTTGTGCAGAGTGCATGGTTTTACCAGCGGGAGGGCTGGGGGCCCCTTCCCCTGTGGACCCCTTTCTCTTATGGACTCCCCTTCCATGGCCCCTTAGTTCACTTCAGAGTTGTGTCCATGAGCAACTACACAAATTGATATCCGAACAATCACTCTGGTTGTACTACAGGATTCAGTCGCTTTCTCTGTACCGCTTATTCACCTTTCCTCTGTTTGGATTTTTCATGTAATTTTCTATAAGGTGTTCTCGAATTCTGGTTCAAAGAAAGGAGAAACTCTTTATATGGTTGTTAAGATGGGTTGAATATGGAAATGGGGATCAGAGTAATTTATTTTCAGAGCACACCTGTAGTGCAATAAAATAATTCGTATAGAGTGCACTATACAGTGTTCAAGGTTCAAGGATTTGTAAATATGTTTTTCTGTAATGCTGGATTTGCTCCACAGGCAGGCCATGGCTCCTTGCTCTTCCCATTACTGCTGTTTACTCAGAGTGGTCAGGTGGTCATGGAAGAGAAGAAGAGCAGAGCAAATGACCTGCTTCTAGTGCCAACTTGCTGGGTTGTGGCTCAGCCAAAACTCCTTCAGACTGCAGTGAGAGCTTTTACTAAGAGAGGTCTTCAGGGTTTGGTCTTAAAATACCACCTGATATAATGAATGTTGGTGAAAGAGTTTTTTTTTAAAATGCATTAATCCCTTCTAACAGGACTCTTACTAGAAGGAATTTTGCTGAACACCAGTGCACAACTATATCTAACTGTGCTGGCTGAGTAAAGTGTGATTTGCGTAGTGTTATAACTCCAGAGACAGCACCTCTTCTGGGAAACAGAATGAGGTGGTGTGTACAGACACCTGCCATGCAGACATAGACATGTATGTGTGTATGTCTATAAAAATACATGTGATTATGTACTCAAATGATGCTTCATCCGTGCTTTCATTTATAATGTACCATGTCACAGTAGAGGGAAGGATCTCAATGTTTTTTTATATTATTTTCCAAAATATCAGCTCAGTTAGAATCCCTTTTAATACAGTTTCCAGAGGAAATGAAGCTTTCCTGGTAATTCTGTGTTTTGGCTTTTACATATGGCCTGTAACAATCTTTGAGTTTCATCACCAATTTTAATTAAATTTGATATGGGGGTGGAAGTCCCAGAGATAGGAAGTTTTTACAAGATTAATGAAAACTGGCTGCCAAGTACAGGAGGAAAATCCATTAATACTCGATCTGAAAGAAAGAGTGACGCTTGAGCTCACTGCTTTGAGACAATGAGATATTATGAATGCCCCAACCGTGGGAAAAACTTCAATCAGCACTCACATCTTACTAGACACTAGAGAATCCAACCACAAGATGCACATTCATAGGAAACCAGGCTTCATTAGTTCCACAATTCACTTTGATACATGGAATATAATTAAAAGAAAACTGAACAACTTATGTGTCCTTCCCCTTGAGGTTTCACACCCTTTAACCAGATTGGTCTGTACACTGGGGAGATTTGAGCATTTGGCTCTGGACTAATGAGGAACACGCTGCTTCCAATATCCTGACTCAAAATCTTTTCAAGTATGGGATGAGCCACTGCTATAAGCATAAATCTTCCATGATTTTTTTAGCAAAGAAAAGCACATACATGATGACATGAAGAAAATCCCAATTCAGTTTTCATACAGAAAATATTGTTGAGCATAATGCTGTATGCTTCCAAGCAAAGGTGTGGAAGTTGTTAGTAGGACTTTGTAATCCTCCTGATCAAAGTGCTAGAATGATTTCCAAAGAAGAAACACCCTTGCATTAAGATAAAGGAGGTGACCTGAAAATTTTCAAGACACCAGAAAACCTGTTCCTTGAGTAATGCACAGAACTTTGGCAAAGTTTAGGTTAAAGCTAAATCTAGTCCTCCTTCTGTGATTAATGTCATATTGTAAATTCTCCCTCTTAGGCACAATTGTTCCTACAGGTGATACTAGAAATTAATTAAGTTATTGAGGTTGTGATAATTTTTTTATCTTCCAAAACTGGAATGATTGATTGAATTGTAAAGCAAGTTCCATGGACATTATTTGAAAATAATATTAATTTTGTTCAGGGATATGATGAAGAGCAATTGTCTGTTAGACTGTGACAGGGAGAGGACATTTTAAAGGAAAATAACTAAAATCCAGATCTCAGGAAGAGGCTGACAGAGTTCTTCTTTTCAGATCTCTAATGCAACACACATGACTTTGTTTGTTTAATTATCCATGGCTTCAGTTGCTGAATAAAAGTGTCATGGGATCTTTTGGCTTGGAAATTCTCCTGATTAGTTATGAAGAAGAAAAAATTAACTGAATTTTCAGGACAAAATTACACAGAAATAATTTCGGTTCGTATGCACATTTTCCCAGACATACTTGTAAGCCTTTTACACAAGTTATGAGATCTGTGTTGAATTCCAGAAGCTACAGAAGTTGTGGAATACAAAACCACATAACGCAGTACTTTTAATTCTGAGAGAGCTTCTGAAAATGTGAATTCAGATCAATGGATTTAAGTTATGAAGTGTGTATGAAGTGCATATTACAATTTTTAAAAAATAAGTTCAACAAACTAAGTTTCTAACTGTGTTTTCCTAATCCTCAGTTTTTATTGTTTTCCTAGAATAGCTGGTATTTTACCTCACCTCTATTTGATACTATAATAAGGTCTTTTTCACTAATATTTAATTCATTTGTACCTAATTTTCTTTAATGATTTAAACCAAATTTAAAGAAATAACTTGATACATCATCAACCTTTACAGCCTCAGAAGTGTATGTATTGACTGTCAAACATACATTATTGCTTAAAAGTTCTATACATCAAGTATATAATTTATATACATTGTAGGCTGAATGTGTTTATAGTCATGAGATTGAATTCAAATTCTTTCTCATACCTTCTCACTCACAGTGCTAAGTCGCTTGGCCTTTGCACAGGGTTGAAAGAAGTCTTCTAACTTGTATAAATGTACTGACTGATGTGATAATCATCTTTCATTTGGCCAGAATGGGACAAGAAGTATCTCTCTCAATCGTTAATGTTTTATAACCTGATATATCTACTATGAGAAATGAAATCCTCCTTGCTAGTGGTCACTGAATCACTGATTGACTAGAATTAAAAGTGGAAAGTGACTGACAAATCATCCATTTGTCAGTTGGATTTTGCCATTCTGTGTAGCTACCAAAAAAAAAAAAAAAAGCCCTAAACTATGTATATTGTAAAACACCATTCTCTGTGATAAACTGAAACTTCCTAAGGCTTTGGCTTTTTAAGCAATTGTCAGTAATCTCTCTCCCTTTCCCTCTCTAAATACTTAGTGGGGTAGGGGGTGCAGGGAGGAGGGGGGAAGAAGTTGGTACTTGTAAGTATTAAGTTACATGGTTTATTTTAAATGACAGAGGAAAATACCAATCCAGGTAATTTTCAGACTGCTCCTTTAAAACCAAGGTTGTAAGTGTTTCTATTGAATCCTTGTTTTTTACCAAAAAGGTTGCTGACGTGAGCTTGTAGGGGGTAGAGATGTGCTCTCAGTGGATGTTTTTTCACTGGCCTCAGTGGATAAACAGCTAAGACCAGTGACTTTACCCTTCACAAGTCTATTTTGTATTTCATAACCTTTTTAATTCTAGGGTGAAGTCTAGTTGCATGCACATGCCATCCTGATGTCTAATGTTTTGTTTTTACTTTGCGGCTTTCAATATTTTTGAACAGGGGTTTGGTTTTCTTTTTTTCCCCCTGTGTATATAAGAATTACAATCTAAAGCCCTTGTAATATTTAACAAATTACTTTCCCAATGTCCTCACAAATATATTTGGTTATTATGTATAATAATATAATTATGTATAATAATTAAGCTTTACAACTTCACGCCACCGAAAGATAATGTAAAATATTAAGAATACCCATCACTAGGGAATTTTGTATATTTTCATTTGAATGATTAAACATGGGATAAGTGTAACATTTTTCTAGAATGTCATACACGTAGGTTTTTTGTCTTTAAAAAGGACAGGACAATTTTACTCATGGTGCTAATGCTAGGATACATGGAAAAGAAAGTTTACTTGAAAGGAGGAATGCTGTCTTGGAGGTGGTGTCACTCCAAAATATTGATTCTGTACAGACAGGCACAAGAATGGCTGTCTCATTTACAAGATCTTTGACCATCTGATTTTTTTGGTGGGTTGAAATGTATGATCTGCGATATTTGTTACCAAGTAGTGTTATAGACACTGCTGACACAGATCTGATAAGAAACTGGGTCAGCTGACAAGATATTCCCTGTAAGGCTACCTCCCTGTAACATTATGTGTATCCTTCTGTGTGAAGGATTTTCTGAGCATGGCTTGTAGTTTATCGTATAGTTTCATTTGCAGTTATTGTAAAGTTCTTTCAGTCTCCTGAATGATAAAAAAAAAAAAAAAAAAAAAAAAAAAGGAAGGACTTGTTTAAATCACATTTCTCTTTAAAGCAGAAAAAAAAGTAAAACTATTTAGTATTTAATTTCTCAAAGCTTGGCAGTTTTCATGTATTGCTCTGTCAGGAGCCTTGTCTTTTCATTCGGCTTCTTTTCTGATTACAGATTATTCATTTATGGATGGGCAGCTGTAGAAACTTGCTTCTTGCGTATGCAAATTAATCATGGTAATGTTTATCATAAGGAGATTTTGTGGCAGTGGAAAAGGGGTTGTGTCAACATGTTCTTGATTTCAGTTGTATCTTCTACAAATGGAATAGGCCTCCTTGCTTCACCTTCAGTGGATTTTTTTTTTTTTTTTTGCCATTTACCTCTTGGACTAGACACCGCTCACTAAGCAAGCTGTTTGATTCACTTACAGATCATGATTTTGGAAGGAGCTGGCAGGATGAGTATCAATTCCAGCAGCAATCTACTCCACCAGCAGCCTTCCTGGACAGATGGATATTCCACATGCAATGGTAGGAGGAATTCAACTGCTCTGAGCCATATTCTCTTTTGGGAGGCCGGGGAAAAAGGGGCTGCTACACCTTTAAGCATGTACGAGTATTGTTTTTCAGTAGTACTAATTTACGGAGTTTCACTTCTGGTAAGAAAAATTTTCATTTGTTACTTCATTTGTAAAAAGCTGAACCTACAATAGGGACCAGTTTATTGTTCATTTCCTTACTAGCTCTCTTTCTTAAAATGTAATGGTGTTGAAAGTGCCAGAAGTTCTCTCTTCTCAGTCCAGAATTCTTTCTCTCGTACCTTTACCCCTCGTGCTTCCTCTAAACCAACATTACCGTTTAATGCTAATCACCCCTCTGGCTTTAGAGGGGAATAGTATTTTTGGTCCTTTATTGTATTTGCTTTTTTGGTCCAGATTACTAGATAGCTTTCTAATTAGACTGGAATTAGAGCACTAGGTAGCTTGTGGCTGGTGATTTTTTTTCTCTTTTTTTCTCCTTACCGTTTTCTGATTATATATCTGGGTATATAGAAATGTATTCATATATATTCTTTCAGTATAAAAATATATATAAACGTGTATCTCTATAGATGCTTGACATAATTTTAGAATTCTTTTCATTATTCAGTGGACAGGTAAAACTTAAAATCTAAGTGGACAATCATATGCTGCTCTTGTCCTTCTGATCCAGAAAATACTACATCAAAACTTACAATTAAAGTTCCCACTTAATGAAATGCTTATTCTCTTTATGTGTAATTTCTAAATACACAGGAATATATCAACATGTGCTTAATAAACGTGCCTGTTTTTCTATAACAATGTCATACAGAAAAAAAGTCATGTCTGAGTTTCACTCTTCCACAGGATTTCATGGAGGGAAATGGTGGGGGTCTATATCAAATTTCCAGGGTGAAACTCCTCAGGATTCACTTATGTTTTAGAGGGACAGGAAGCTCAAAGCTCAGACCAGTCTGCACAGTAATTCACCACCGCACTTACTTTTACCTAAGCTACTTGCTCCTCTCACAAAAGTATCTTTCCTAATATTGGGATTCTAGTGACCCTTGAAATCACTTTACTCTTCTGAAGTGATAAGAATACAAATCAACCTCTTTTTCAGGGGATATTTGACAGCTCCAGCAAACCTTTATTCTCTAACATACCACACTTGAAATCATTTCCACACTCATTCCCCACATCGTTCAATAGGAGGATGAGGAACAGTCCTGCAAACTCCCTAAGTTACTTACACAAGCCTTGTTGGCTAATATTGATAAAGAAAGTTAAATAACTGTGGGGTTTGTTTTTGTGTTACCTGGAGAGTGTGTCCTGTACCTCATCTGAAGAGACCTGAGGTCTAATGCACCTGAGTTAAGGTGATTTCCTAAAATGTGCCAATTCTGGTGCGTGTGGTCCTCCTGGCAATATCCACTGTTGTCAGTATTTCTCACTGTGTGGTTAATTTTTTTCTAGAGGAGTCTGGGAACAGACTGGTGCCATATCCTGGAGCGGGGTCCCTGCAGAGCTAGGCCATGGCAGTCTCTCCTCCCTCTGCAATCTCTAATTCCCTCATCCTTAAACCCTTCTTGCACTTGTGAACATTTTATCTCACCGTCGCCTCTGTCTGGCATTCCAGTCCATTTTCCTCCTTTCCCAGGGAATAAATTGCACTGAACTCTGTGAGGACAGACAAAGCAATCCTGCCTTTGCTCTTATCTTACATAATGATCCTAGCCCATGTACAATTTCTTCCATTTGCACATGCAAATTACTGTCGTGCAATGACATACAACTGAGAGCAGTTTAAGAGATTGTGAAGAAAAGACTCAGACATTCTAAAAAGAAAATTAGGCAGCTTCCATAGCTAAAAATGAGTTTTATAACTACATTCAGAAACCACTTTACATGACTACAGCAATAATCTGCACCATCAGAATGCCGTCTCTGTCATGAAACCATGGCCCACACTGATAGGCTTTTACTGTGGAGCAGTATGAAAGTGCCTTTAACCTTCCTTTTCCTAACCCTACAATTAATATTTAGCCCCTACTAACTTTTCAAAGAAAGTTTTCACGTCACCTTATGAGAGTTTTGCAAGGCTGTTCCATCATTTTCTGATGCAGTAATTTTCCCACACATCCCTTTTCAACAGTATTTCTGTAAAGTATCTTCCCTCAGAGAATTTTGGTGTATTTAGCCAACATTAATAAGTTAATTCCTGCAAATCAATCAGCCAAGACATGTGTAATGAAACAATGCCCAATTTTTAGTTGGAAAACTGAGGCCAAAACCCCCACAACGTCTTCTCCAGCAATAGCTACTGAGCCAATGTTAAGGAGTGAGAAAAGCGTCTAGATCTGTAGACTTCCAAGACATGCAATTTGGCTATAGATCTTATTGTTGATGACTATTATGCTATCAGATATAGTAAATATTTTTTTTCTTTTCCAGTATCCAGTAGCTTCTATGGAACCCAGTGGCATGAAATACACCCGCAGTACTGGACCAAGTTTCAAGTCTGGGAGTGGCTGCAGCATCTCCTTGATACCAACCAACTGGATGCCAACTGCATACCTTTCCAGGAGTTTGATATCAATGGGGAACATCTTTGTAGTATGAGCCTGCAGGAATTCACTCAGGCAGCTGGGACAGCAGGACAACTGCTTTACAGCAACCTCCAACACCTAAAATGGAATGGTAAATAGATATTAGAGAGAGACACACGCACATTAGTCTGAATTCTGAGATCTTCAGAAGTCATTTACGCTCCCCAGAAGCCTGCCTGGCAGATTATACTTGCTCTGTTTGCTATTCTGCTTATAGCTCATTTATGGTATTGCTAAATTTCTTGGATATGACTTAAGGCAGAAATCTAAAGGATGAAGAAGAGAGGGTATGTTTTCCGCTCCAAAATCAGCCCTCTGGCTCAGGTGTAGAAGTTGCTGCTTGAAGCTAATACATTTGATTCCTCTCTGCTCATTCTCATACTTCCTATCTGCCAATTTGCTTTCTTGCAGGTCAGTGTGGAAGTGACATGTACCAATCTCATAATGTCATTGTGAAGACAGAGCAAACAGGTGAGTAGCAGCTGGGTAAAATGTCCTTTGAAAAGAGGGGACCCCTCTTCCAAGGGAGACAAATCAAGGTGGCATTAAATAAAATGGAAAGTGTATCATGCAGAATTAAAGAAGTAACACAAATGTCAGTCAGTGCCTACCTCTGAAGTTTCAGGTAATACCACATGCATGTGGCCACTTTTCCTGGGAGACCTCTGCAGTATAAGCAGTCTACACTGATGTTCAGAGTTGGAATAGTTTGAGGTGCTCCATGGAGGCGGCTTTGTAGAGGACTTCATTCTACACTTCATTCAGCAAATTTCAAAACAACTATCTTAACAATATGCTCCATTAAAAGAAAAAAGGAAGAGAGACAGGGAGAAAAAATATTTTGTTGTGAAGTGCTGTTAGTGTTTGAAACACTAGGAGATTTCCAAAAACCAACTCGGAGGCAAAACAAAATGTTACATTTTAAATGTTACATTTTCTTCACAGGTTTCAATGAAACTGAAATTCAGGCAATAGTTTGGTTTCATCAAATCTGCATTTTTGCCGTTGCAGTTCTTTTTCTGAGTGTGTTTATAGCTAGATCCCTTTCCTCCCAGGGCTTTGTTTAACTGAGAAAAGAACTTCAGCTTGATTCAACCGTCCTCTTCAGGCACAATTATTTTCCTTGTTCCTTTCCCAGATCACGGCTGTCCATATCCACACACTCTCTATCCCACTAGTCCCAGCCTTTGTATGTAGGTGTGCCCATGAGCCATGTTTTGATATCTGCTGGCAGAACAAATACTGATCTGTTGCATGTGGTGTCTCCAACAAATACTGTCAGCCTGTTTATCCACTTAACCTGTTGGAGCCCAGCCTCTCCAGCCAGGAACATTGCCCATATTCTCCTTACAGCAGGCAGGGATTGCAATGTGCAATCCACTCCTGATATGGGAGATGTGCATGAGGCAGCTTTGCTGCTTTCCATGGAGGTAACTCCAGTTATCCTTTAAGTCCTGATTTATGAGATCCTGGTGTAATGTTATTTCCTCCTTCTACTAGAGATGAGGGCAAAGCACCTCAGCTGCACATCTTGGAAAGGACTAACTGGCAGGTGGTTCTCCTGGTTGTGCTGAATCAGGAATGGCCTGGTGGGCCTCTGGTGGTGCCAACCACAGCCAGTGGGAGTGGGTTAAGTTCCTGCGTGTGGGGGAGCAAGAATTGTGGATTAGAACTGCTGGGAAAGTTACTCCTTCCCAGCAGCTCTAAGTGAAGCCGCAGGGACAGGGCTGGTGGTTTTGCGGGGAAGCTCGGCTCACTCCAGTAAACCATCAAAGCTGCAAAGACATGGGTACTGAAAAAGGCCAAAATTAACAAAGGTGAACACTTTTCCCGTGTTCTGGCTGGGTAAGGCCCCGTTTTCAGAGGCAACATTAGGCAGATCAGGTGTCCAAGCAAGAAAAGGGTGTGTGCTACTGTAGGAACGCAAGCTCTGGGTGCCCAAACATGCAGCTGTTAGTTAGCATGCCTGCTAAATTCCTATGTCATAAGTGGTAACTTGGCCAAACATGATTATTTAGCTGTAACTCATTTTGGCATTTTTGATTTCATTTATATGAACATGAAAAAAATTAGGTTTAACCTAGATTTGAACCTTATATCTCATCCCTTCTGACCTGGTTTCAAAAGAAGAGATTTTTAAGGTTTCTGACCTTAAAAATGCACTGTGAAGGAAGTAATTTCCAGACCAGTGTACAGGTCATAAAGACAGTACTTCTGTTCTGCTTATATTGATCCATATGACTAGAAGGTCACTAAAAATTATTCCTCTTTAATCATGAAGGTGGTTTGTAGGTTAAGGTTGGGGACTTAGTATGCCTGGAGTAAAATGGCCCTTCATCTAGAATTAGGCTTTGATGTTTCTCACCATGTGCTTAAACAAGAAGCTGTGTTTCAGAGAGGACTTTCAAGTTCTACCATTATAGAAATACATACTCATCATAAGCATCCTTCTTTTTTACTAGATATTTGAAAACACTTTCATCTGTGTGGCTCCAACGCACTGTCATAATCATCAGGGACTGAGAATTCAGGACTGGATTGGGTAGAATTACAGTTGATCTGGCATAGGAAACCTCCTCCAAGGCCAGGCATAAATGATATACTAGTCAGGAAAAGGAAGAGCATACTACATTCTTTCCAAAGTCAGTGCTTTGTGTAAATACATTTGCCTGAATATGCAAAACTCCATGCATAATTTGAGTGAAAGGAAATAATTTTGTACATAGACCCTTCACTTCTTGGTTCTCTTGACAGTTTTTTGTTTTTTTTTTTTTTTTTGCACATTTTAAATTCTTTCAGTGGTCAATATTTACCTCTGTGCTCTGTGCTTTTAGTGATCCAATTTTCTTTTTGGTCCTTTACCTTCAGATCCATCATTAATGGTATCCTGGAAAGAAGAGAATTATCTTTATGACAGTGGCTATGGTAGCACAGTAGGTAACTAATATCACAATACTTCATGCATTTTGAGATGGCTTTATTGTTGTCTGAGGCTATTAGTTTAAACGTCTTCTTTTTAATTCCCAGAGTTATTGGACAGTAAAACATTCTGTCGTGCTCAGATTTCCATGATGACACCTAGTCACCAATCTCCTGGTAAGAAACTTGTAATTATATTTTTAATTGTTTGTCACTTGTCCCAGAGCTACCGACATGTAATAGTCTCTGTGGTCTTCTGTTGTAGGATTGCATCTGAGCCTCCAGTAATTTTAAACCAAGCAATGACAATTCTGACAGATTTATTAGCTGTCATTATTACAATAGCTGTCTTTAAAGAAATGCTTCTGTCTTCTCTCTGTCAAGAGAAAGATGATCAAATAATCTGTAATCACCACATATCTTTTAAAGTGACTGAGTCAAAGGGGTAAACACTAGTGTCAGAGAGACAAGACATTCCAGCTACACCACGCTTTTCTGTGGTGTAGCGCGCGGGGCAAACAAGTGTCCCATTCCTCCCCAAAGCGGCCGTGCTCCCGGTGAGCCCGTGATTCATGCTGAGCAGGCTGCTGGCTTTGGGGCCGGGCTCGGCTTGGCCTGGGGCAGCTGTAGGGCAGACACCAAGCCCTGGCCCAAACATGCCGGCACAAGGGCTTCCTCCCGCAGCCTCTCTGAGCTGACAGCTCGCTGAACCCCCCTGCCTTCCATGAGGGAGGGCTCAAATCTGCCAGCTGAAGGGCAGGAGACACAGCAAACCTGTTCGCTGCAGCGCCTGGCCCAAGTGCAGCCTGATTGCACGTGGCGAAGGCCCTGTGGGCCTTGTCTGGGCACCAGGATGGAGGCGGGTGAGGCCGTGGGGGAAGAGTAAAGCAGAGGTGGCAGGGGAGCGAGAAAGCGGAGAGGGAAAGGCGGGTTCTTCTTAGGAGGCTGTTCAGCAGAGATCTGAGAGAGAAGGCACTGCAAGTCCTGGGAGAAGAAAGGAGAGCGTGTTGCTGTAGTCCAGCCTTGCACTGGGGGCAGCCCTGTGCTTCTGCACGTGGCCGTGGCCTCAGCCCCTGTGCCTGCTGTCCCCTGCTCCTCCAGCCTCCTGAGCTGGATTGGCCAAGTGACTAAGGCACTCAGCTACGAATTAACAAAAAAAAAAAAAACCAAAAAAACAAAAAAAACCAAAATAAAAACCCAAAACAACACAAGAAAGACAAACAAACAAACAAACAAACAAAAAAACCAAAAAAATGAGAGAGGGAGAAAACTTGACCAGAAGAAGAAAACCACCAAACCTTAAAAAACCCCAATCAAACACCCTGTTTGCTTTCTCCACCACCTCCACCCACTCTTACAAGACGGCTACCAGGATTTCAGGGCTCTCTGGCAGGGCTGGAGACCTGTCCAGATCCCGGCATGGTGTGTTTATCTGCTGACTGCTTAAGCCTAGAGCTAGGGCGGCACGCCAAGGGCACAGCCTCCTGTAAAAACTAAATTTGTATATCCCGTAAAAAAATGGCTCATTCCTGAATCATATGCAAATAATGTGTAACCTTTTGTCAAAAGTTTTGCAAGACGGCTTTGTTGAAACTGCATCGTAACTCTTTTCATCTGTCAGGCCCCAGCCTCCTAACATGGCATGTTTGAAACCAGTCTCCACGTAGGAGCTGTGGCAAAGCAGGAGGCTATTTACACAGCTGAAATCCAGAATAAATCACTGGCTAGGCAGAAGGCAGCTGAACTTCCAAGAATAAATTTCCAGCTAAGTGGAGCATAACAAACATTTGCAAGCGAATTGTGGGATTTTAAAATGAGAAGGATTTATATGAGGGCAAATAAAGAACTGGGTCCTGCAGTCGTTACCTGGAGTTCCCACAGGCTTTTAATAACATATGGGGAATCATAATCTGAGGAAAGGCAGTGAAATAAGCCTCATTTTACTTCCCCCACACCACACCCCCCTCCAAGCTGAGTGAGGTTCAGGCTAGTTCCTGCTCTTTGAGAGTAGGAAGGCAAAATGACTCAGAGCACGTTTGCTGCTTGGGGGTCAGGGACAGTAATTTATCAGACTTAGAATAGCAGAGGTTAGGCCTATCCCCACGGTCTTGTTCAGTTTATGTTTCCAGTTATGTATGAATAAAGCAAGTGTGTGAATAACTTTGCATCTACCTTTTCACATGCAGTTATTGCAGTAGCTTGTGCAAATCTGACAAGTTTCTATGCAAATAAATATTTCCTGTGAGTCATTTTCCCATGCAAATGCCTGGTTTCCATGAAAAGTATGATAATTGTGCATTCATAGAAGCTGGGAAAACATGCGTGGGACCTTCAGCTTTGCTTTATGGGATTCAGGGACAAGGTATGCTGAAAAGCAAACACAGAAGGGGCTCCCTCTCAGGTCTATCCCACAGATTTTGTGAGACTTAGAGCAATCAGATGAAAGCTATTCATTAAGTACAAGACCAGAGCCAGGCTGCGGTGGTTTGGGGGCAGGAGGGTTGAACGTGCAGACTGCGAGGTAGGTTACAGTCACGAACAGGCGGAACTTCTTTTTATTTCATTTCTGAAGAAATGTTTGTGCCAGAAATCCTATTTCTCCTCTGGCTGGCTGCAGGTGATAAAGTACCATTGATGAGAAATGGCTTGTTCCTATGGCTCTGAGCCACAGAAAAATATATGCTTGTCCTGCTGCCAAAAACTCCTACCAGCGTAGCCCCTTTCCCCCACCCTGCCCCCCTAAACAACAGCACTTTGCCAGTTCATTATGTTTTAGTCAGGTAGGTGTTCTGTGCATTGGTACCAGCACATACATTTCCCATTAGATCATCTCTTCAGAAACAAATAAGCCCCCAAAGATACGTGCTTCAGCAAAGACTGAGATAATGGGACAATTCAGGATTCCTTTTACAGATGTGATCATCCTATTTTTCTCTCTCTCACACACAATATGAGGTGAGGTATTTGTTAATCAAATTTAGCTTTCAAAAGCCAAATGTTTACCTCTGCATTCATTCTTTATTCATCAGTGGTCTCTTTGAGAAGTGTGCTGATTAACATACAGTACAGAAAACAAAACTCTCCCTCCTCACTTAGATTACCTTCCGAAAAGTGATTATCTTTAGAAGAGATATTTGTTCTTTTTTGTGGTTTTATTTCTTTCAACCTGCTAGTCAATGGAAAGCCTTTAATCAAATTTACAAATAGGCTTTATTTTCCTTCTCTGCAGATTCTTCAGATGCAAAAAAATCGCAAGATCATACCCCAAAGTCCCACACCAAGAAGCACAGTAAGTCAACATCCATGCTTATAAGGGTTGGTTAGTTGATTGAAGGAAAAAGAAACAAATGAAAATCAGATGCTATTTGAGAGGGAAGAGGAAGCATTTTGAATGCAAAACTCATTAAGTCATTATTGTGAGTGAATTCTGAAAGGATCTGAGTACCTTGTACTGCTTGTTTACGTCATTTTTGGACTCAATATTGTTAAATTTTCAAATTGTTTTTATCAGTGAGGGCCTATGGGGAAGCAATCACAAACCAGTTTCCTCTGCCCTCTGTTGAGCTGGGCTGGTGGAGTGGAGCAAAGGAATGATGAGGAAGACCCAGGATTTAATCAGGAGGGCCCGTGCATGGGCACAGTCGTGCTCATGCCTGTGCCTGCCAGGTGCAGCACACACCACAGACCCTGCTCAGCATCTCCTTGCAGAACTTCTCACACGACATCACGAGCAAGCACCTGTGCCTCAATCTTGCCACCTTCTTATCCCCTGATATGACAGTCTCTCCACGCCCCTCACCTACATTTTCTGCAAGTTTTTATCCAACCTGACTCTGAAGACAAGTTACCATAATTGTGATTTCTGTACATAGTACCATTAATATACTTTACTGAGATTTTTTAAGGCTGAAAATATCCTGTGTATGTCTTTTCCATCCTGTTTATTTCCCTGATTATAATAGGAAAGCTTAGTATTGGTCTTTCACTGAATTGTGTGGTATTTGTGTTCATCCTGTTTCAATATGACCTCCAGATTATGTCTCTTCCTGACTCTTCTTACTCTTGTTCTGTTGCTTTGCCCCAACAGAACTCCTGAACTTTATATCTGTACACAGATATCTGGGTGGTGGGGTTTTGTTTGTGTGTGTGTGTATAAAAAGGTTGTTCATGAAAGGATTAGACAGGTCTGGTCTGAAGAAAGACCTGTGAAGAACTGAGGTCTGTCAGCCTGTTCAGCTTGGAGAAGACAAGGCTGAAGGCTGACACATCGCAGTCTTCAGCTTCCTCAGGGACGGCAGTCGAGGGAAAGGTGCTGATCTCCTCTGTCTAGTGGCCAGTAATAGGACATGAAAAAAAGGAGTGAAGGTGTTCAAGGGAAAGTTTAGACTGCACAATAGAGAAGGTTCTTTACCCAGAGGCACTGGAAGAGACTCCCCAGGTATGCGGTCACAACACCGATCCTGACAGAGTTCAAGGAGCATCTGGACAATGCTCTTAGTCATATGGCTTAGTTCTAGGACATCCTGTGAGGAGCAGGGAGTAAGACTTGATGATTTTTATAGGTCCTTTCCATCCTGAGATGTTCTGTGATTCTAACATCTCATCAGTTACAGCCTGGGCATATAATACAGGTGACATTGGCAGTCTGGGTTAATCCCCTTCATTTCCAGTTCCTTCAGTACTGCTCCATATCATGACCATAAGTTACTGATGTCCAGGTAGGCTAGGTCCTCCACATTTTAATGGGTCCAGAATACAATTATAATAATAAAGAAAAATATTGGATTCTTTGATTGAAATCTAATTCTACTTATACTGCACTGCATACCATTTCCAAGTTACCTTCACATCTTTGACTAGCTTGTTTCCTTCTTAATTTGATCTAATTGCATGCTTCTGAAGTCAAATCAAAGGACTGCTGTCTTTCTGGCTCACTGTGTTTGTTATTCTTCATTTGTAAACTACTTAATCTGACTTGATGGATTTTTTTTTTTGACCTGGACTTTTTTATAGTAACTGTGAGACATATTTGTGATTAAACTGAGAGGTCTACCTGTTGAGCTTGGAGATCTGTTTTCGTCTTTTCTACACCATGGTCAAACTTTTTGGTTCCTTTTCTATGTGCAGTTTTGGCTGGTCAGTTTTGTCACTGTCCTACACCTTCTTACTTACTCATTCATGCAGAATGGCAGTTCACCTCCCATGCCTCCTGTCTGTCTTTTAAATGCATGGAGTTTCGGTGCCTGCTTCACGGTAATCTCGGCTGTTTCATGTGCCACAAAATAATATCAGGTTACATGCTGTGCTGTAGACAGGGATCAGGAAAAATGGGCAAATGAGATGAGGGGAAGGCTTAAACATGTTCTCTTTAGGGCAGAAACAGTGCCAAAGGCAAAAGGAAGCAGTAGGTGGTTTGGACTCTGCTTCCTCTGGTTGCTGGGTCTCCTACCTGCCTGCCTGAGGCCAATGCTTAACTGCAGTTGAAAGCTGCCAGTGTTTTTCACCTGTATATCTCTGAGGTGGGGGTCCTGTGTTCCAGAAACTATGGCCTAAGTGTTCACCCTCTGTAGATGACATAAAAATTGCAAGCATAGCAAGAGAGCTCTTGAGACGCTCCTTCCTGCACTCTTTGCTTTTTCAGACCCTCGAGGAACTCATCTTTGGGAATTTATTCGAGATATTCTTCTCAATCCTGAGAAAAACCCAGGATTAATCAAGTGGGAAGACAGATCAGAAGGTGTCTTCAGATTTTTAAAATCTGAAGCTGTTGCTCAGCTGTGGGGAAAGAAGAAAAACAACAGCAGCATGACTTACGAGAAACTCAGCCGGGCTATGAGGTGAGCTGGATATTGCTGAGGAAGACCATGGCACATACACAGACCAACTGGATGGAGAATTTGTCTGACTTTCAAAAATTATTTCTCAGCAGCAGAAGTTGCTTTCTTTGACAGTCTCTCAAACCAGTTTTGAGATTGTAGCACTATGTTCTTTTCTTCTCCTGTTTCTGCAGAATATATGATATATATAACACAAACAATTGTTTATATATATATATATATATATAAATTCTGTTTGGCTCCATCCAAACAACCAGTGTAGGAAGGGAATATGGTTGCAGAAATCTGAGAATGTTTAAATGTCCCATTAATGGCTGGAGACCTTGTTATTTCCAGCAACATTCAGAAACTAGCTATACCCCACATCCATTGTCTTAAAATCGGTGTTAGGATTTTCTTTCCTCTTTGATTTAACATTTTGAGAATTTTTACATATTTCTGAAATTTCAAAATGTATTTTTTAAAGGGTGCTGAGGTTTTTTCCTGGTCTGATTTTTAGATCCTGGCTTATCTGGAAAAAACCTCTGTGAAATCTCATAAGAGTGTGTGATGAATCCAGCAGTATGCTTTGACCTGAAATGCAGTGAAATTCAAACTCAGAAGCTAATTAATATAAAGGAAAAAGAAAACATCCATTTTTCCTTCTCTGTCATTCAATTATCATGATATTAGATATTATATATATATATATATATATATATATTAATAGAAAATCAAGGCTTTTTAAACTAGCTAAAGGATTGTCTAGTTGGCAGTGACCTTTTAGGACCATAGGAGAATTTACTCTTATATCTTTTTTTGTTTTTATTTTAACAGATACTATTACAAAAGAGAAATCCTTGAGCGTGTGGATGGTCGGAGATTAGTATATAAATTTGGAAAGAATGCCCGTGGTTGGAGAGAAAATGAAAATTAAATATATCAAGAAATAACATTTAAAACACATGGATGTAAATATTCAAAGACTATTTTCTTATATTTATGTATCAAACTGGGGTGAGAAAACAATTCTACTTCTGTCGGGAGAAAGAACATTATCATTATTGGTGTTAAAATTATTTTATTTGAAGTATGTCCTGTATGGGGAAAAAATGTACACAGTTTTCTGTGATATAAGTTAACATTATAGAATTATGATTATTTTTCCCTTCTTGTGAAGTTCTCCTCTTTTTTTTTTAAAAATCATACAGGCATAATGTGATTTATGAGTCATGTAAAGAAAGGGAAGGAGCTAAATATTAGGGCATTTAGAGAGTATGATAATCCACTTTGGAAGGCAACAATAAGTGGAGGAAACAGTAAAGCATCTCTGAGCCAAGTAGCCTTCTTCCACAGTCAGATGGTTTATAGCTTTCCTTGGCCAATACCACTTGTTCCTTCCTTCCTCTGATTTCTGAGTGTTTTAATACTTTGTGGCTTTCAGCTGCTTTTCTTGAATTAGACAGTGGGTTCCTCTTCAGCTGGCTTATCCCAGCCACAAGAACAATGGCTCTATAAGGTGGCTGCCAGCATTTACTTGGAGAACCCATACTACCTCCACCACTGAGACCTTCTTTTGTGGGCAGATATTTAGGACCAGACCTTATCTGATACTCAGTGTCCTCCCTAACCTCCACAGAGCATTCAGCTCACCTCAGGAAAAAAGTTATTTTTTGTTAACTAATATCTTTGGGGTGAACTGCTGGAAGAGCGTAGATCTTGGGGACCAAAAGCTGTTGAAAGAAGATTGTTTTCTGACTGGGCAAACTTATTAAAAGGCACTGGTTTCCCAGTATGAATGTTAATAATCCTCTCACCCTCTTGCACTTCTAATTAAAGCTTTCAAATCTGTGCCATATGGAGCAGTGAGGAGGTGGGCAAGCAGAACATTTATTAATCCCTTGGCACGAGGAAGCAGTCTCCTCAGTTACTTCAAGCTGTGGTCCTCCTGGAAGGTTAAGTCTCACTTGGACAGTTACTTTCAAAAAACCTTTGAGAAATGCAAAGCTAAACTGTGTGTAAAATATTAGTTCCCTTTGCTTTCCTCAAGTCTAACGTTATACTGTACTTATATTTGTCATTTGTGCTTGGGATTCTTAGTTGGAGGAAAAGCCCCATTAACATAAAGACACTGAGATTTTAGGGACATTCAGATCTGGGTCAGTATTTAGGGTTCACCTCTAGCAGCACTATGCAGACACTGAGCGTTCATCAGCAGCTTTTCCTTTCTCCAACTCACAAATGCTTTCTGCCAGCACTGAGCATATGCAGAACACAGGGAAATAAAATCTAGAGGAGGCAGCACTTCACGAGGTCACTGAGTACGTGAGATGTGGGAGTCGAGAAACAGGATTGTCTTGGTGATGTTAGCAGAGGTGAAACCAAGATCAATTTCAAATGACTTTTTTAGGGATTGGAATTTGGAAAACAATAATAACAAGGACTGAGCAGTTCAAAATTAAAAAAAGAAAAGGAAAAAAAAATGAAAATCAAGAATATTAAATCCATCCAATATCTATTTCCTGAGGCATCCCCTGGGTTTGAATCCATATTATCTTGAAATACAGCAAGATATGGCTGGAGGTTGCAGGATATTCCATTTTTGTTTGTCTTTAAAGGAAATAGAGATGAAACCAAGAGACAACAGAAGTATCAATATGAAGGGTATAAAACGTGCTTAGCAACAATTTGTAGGCAAACATGAGAGCCTAACTTGTTATCTACACATGTAGGGCATGTTAAACAATAGCACCGCCTCCTACACTGTGTATGCGAGAGCTGTCACCATCAATTACCCATACATGACAATTTTTACTTTTCATAACCTGGGTGGAGAGAGCTTCATCTTATTTACAAATCAAATAATAAGCCTGTGTACTTCAAAGCATTTTTTTTTCTCTCAGTCTATCTCTCTTTGGTTTTGGTTCTTTTTTTTTTTTTTTTGACTGTCTGTGCTAGCCTTGCTTGCTTTTGCAAATTCAATAATTTCATTTTTTAGCTTAATTTGCTACATTTCACTTCCTTTACCATCATTTTGTAGTTCATGTAACAAGGATCAGGCCACCAGATGAGAAGAGCACTTTCACTTTGCTCCTAAGACCATTTCTTCCCCTTACCTGATGGTTGTTTGTAGCCCTTTGCTCTATGCTCTTCACACCACCTCCACACCCTGGGTGAAAATCTGAGATCAGTGGTACTATCACAGATCTGCAATGCAGTTGTACCTTATCTTAGGTTAACATTTATCTTATAGCAATGAATTGTAATACTTCAAGAATTTGCTTTCTACCTGATCTCACAAAATTTCTTGGGAGATAAAATGAACCTGCAATATATGTGTGCCACCACTTGGTTGCTGAGCAGCAGCTCAACCTGCTTTTGAAAGGTTTTGAAAGATGAACCCGTACTTAGAAGCATTCTGTATAAATTGAGAGAGTGGTTTATGTTGGGGTGCAGTATAAATGGTCTTCCACTGTCACATCTTTCAGCACGTGGAATACATGCAAGTTTCTGTTTCCACCCTGCAGAACTTTGCAGTGTTGTAGGTATTTGTCATTCTGCATTACAATAGCACAAAGTTGGAATAGAAGCCAGCCAACATTTACTCTGTTTCACAAACCTTTGCCTAAGACAAACACAAAGGACTGTTTAAAATTACAGTTCTTGCCAAGACAGATGCAACCAACCAAAGAGTCTTTTTACCAGACCTAAGCAAACGGAGAAAATGAAGAGATGAATTTTATGTAAATTGCTATTTAAACAAAAAGCATTTCTGATTGCTCTTTTATTTTGTGTTTCAGAGGCTGAGCAATCATATTTTTAGATGTATCCTTTAAGTTAGCAGCTGCTGAACTGGTAGCACCATGTGTATAGATTTTTATTGTACCATAATTTTTCTTATGTATAAAGCTCTAGATAGGAAAGTATATTGTATTTATACAGTCAGATGCAAATCACAACGTCAAAGGGTTGGCATGAGCACTCTCAATATTTTCTGCACAAAATTAGAGCAACTTGCTCTAAAAACATCCTGAGAAACTGTATGTAGGCTGTTGAACTACATAGACATTAAAATGTTTAGTTACATTTTCATGTTTCTTTCTGCAGCACATTGCATAATTCCTGCTTGCTTCTCACAGCATCGTCTTCAATATCTACGTGTGGAAACAAATCCAAGTTAGATATTTCACTATTGCCATTGTAAATCTCAGCTTGGAGACAATGTATTCACAAAATGGTTCTAAAGACTGTTTCTATTTTTGTGAATATGATACAAATTCAAATAAAACACTCATGAAAGAATATATTTGATTAATGTTTATCTTCCTTTTTTATGTCTTGTGATTGGAAGTGACTAATGTGAATTCCTTCAGTACTGAAGAATATTTTAATATTTATGAAACGTCTGCTGTGACTACAACAAAATCCAATAGCTTAAAATTACTAATATGTTGAATGCCTGATCTATTGTGAAGATACTTGGTTTCCAAACCTGTTTTATGTCTCACAGGCCTCACCGAAATAATGGATTATGTCAACACAGCTAGATTGCCTTTCTCGTTTGGCTGCTAAACTTAACAAAGGCCTGACTTCAGCACTGATTTAACTTCAAGGTATTTTGAAGTGTGTGCAAGGGCTAGCCTGATTAAGGATGCCATTACTCAAACCGAGCGTTTCCTTTACTGAGTCAAAGCAGCTAAAACGAAGAAATCCTGTCCTTCATGTTATTTTTCCATCTAAGTGGTGGTTATGAAAAGGGGACATCTCTCCTGATTTACTCTTCAGCTTGAGGTAAAAAAGGTGAAAATGCCTATGGTTAAAAGCAAGTCAAGGCAGACTCCTGTGGCATTTGCAGTGCAGGGGCTGTGGCTGTGCCAGCTGGGTGCGAGGGTGCCGTGTGTGGCCATCCCGTAGTTCCTGTGGTGCCCTGCTGGGTGTCCCGAGCTGGCAGCACGAGGTGGTGCAGGGCAGCCAGTCTGACACATAGCTGAGCCTGCTGCTGTGCCAGCACACCTGGAGTTGGGCTGGAATCTCAATCAGGAGCTTCACTGCAATAGGATAAACCACACCATCATGCTCTATCATCTGCAAACGTGCATAATTTTAAGCAAGTGGGTGGTTCCCCTGCCCTTGAGACGATGCCTTTGGGTGTTTGAGGATGGTGGCTCTAGAAGTCTATATTGAATCAGCCCTATATTTGAACCTGGAATTTCAGAAGGGCTCCAACATTACATCCACATAAATAGGAGAATGGGTTTGAATTTTGAACACAATTACAAACCTCATGTTTAGCATGCAAAATCAGTGTTCCAAGAGTGGTCATAGTTTGAGAACTTGGGAGTCCCAAAGTAGGTTTCAAAATGAATTGGAACTAGTATTCAGGCAAGTTCAGACTGAGATTTAAATAAGCACAGCTGTTTTTCCAGTAAATGGTTGGGGCTTTTGTTTCAAGAAAGCTGAGGCCAATATTTGAGACAAATACAGATGAGAATATTGTTTGGAAACATGCAAATAAGTGCACACTTAATAAACTCCCCCCACCCCCCAAAAAAATCCAAGCAAACCAAACCTCTTCTTAACTCTTTTTTGATTGTGACTTAAAATTGAGGAAAACTGAAGCTTTCAGTTGCAGTATAAGGCCACATGAAATAAAAATTCAAGGCAAAATTCAGTTTACAAATCCTGTGTAAATTGAGAATAAATAAGAGGAGTGCTGTAAACAGTCTACCTACATCTTAACCTTTTATAAATTTGGGTGCATATCTGCATCAAGGACAAGTAAGAATTGCTTCAGGTAAGTGAAATCTGGTACTAGCAAAAAAAAAAAGGTGATTAAGCGTCACCAATACTAATAGCTTCCAATAAATGGGTTAGTTACAATAATTTGAAAGATAGGTTATCTATCTGGGTTTTCACTATTTGCTCGCTTGCTGATGAAGATTTGCACAATGCAGTCTAAGTCCCAAACTTTGTGCAAGCCAAGAATTTTCTCCAACAACCACCTTTTCCCCAGGTATTTAACTCCTTCAGTCACCTCGGTGTTAAGGAAGGGAAAGAAACAAATAAAGCAGGAAGATGTGACTGGGTAGATGACCAGGTTTTAATGCACCAAAAGTTCTGTGTGGAAATACAAAGGCTGTATGTGCAAAAAAATTTAATAACATCCAAGTCAATCTATTTATAGTCTTTACATCACAGGTTGGTTGCAAAAATTAAACATAAATTAGTGTTTACAAGTTTAATTACAACTTTTAGAAGAACAAGAAATTATAGCAATATTCCTGTGTGTACTGCATCATCTTGTGTACCTAAAAAAATTAATTATGACAAATGACTGAAGCATTATTTCTGCTGAAGAATTTCTCCCCTCTGTATTCAGTATGGTGTGATACCCTCTTTGCTTTCATCTTGGTTTGAAATTCAACAATAGGATTCAGTCTCAACACAGGGAATGAAGAAGGAGATGGATGATCTGTATTTTTGTAGCAGGTATTTCAAAGCAAATAGGCAAACCGTAGCTTATTCTTTCTAAATTTTTGGTTCCTTACTTACCATTTATACTGTCAAGATGTGAACAAGATGGGAACAAGATGGGAACAAGATGTGAAGCTGGGTATAAATACCAGTATCAGTGACACATCTTGTGAATTTTGCAGAGGAGCCTCCCCATCCCTGTGCAGGAGTGGTGAAGAGACCTTCTGAGCATGAAGATTGTGAAAGCCCCCTTCTTATACATGAGTATGTTGAGAGGCTGAACACCTTAATTCCTGTTTTCTAAAGCTCCTGTCTGTGTTTCGAAAGATTTGGACAATAATGAAGCCTTCAGCATTGTGTGGCAAGGAGATTATTGTACTTCACACCCCACTAGGGAGCACACAGGATGGCCTCATAGCAACCAGAGGTGAGGAGAAGTGCTGTGTTTGAATCCATGCTGCATCCTCTGGAGACTGCAGAACTCACTCTGTACTGAGGTCTAGTGCCACTGTGCACCTTCATCTGCCTTTCTCAATGTGCCAAGGCAAAGAGGGGCTGGAGACTTTTAAGAATGCATCCCAAATGCTTTTGTGAGTGCTGCAGAAAGGTCAGAGGGTTACTGGCACTGCTGAAGTTCCTGGAGGTGATGCTGACATGAGGATGCTAAGACACAACTACCAGCTGGAGAGGTGGTCTGGGAGAAGGGGACTCTCCCTTCTTCAAGTCTTGCTAGTTTTGCTCTCTATTTGTCAGCTTCTGTCCCCATTTTTTTCTCACATCCCCTTTTCCCGAGTGCTGTGGATGTAACATCACTGGCTGTACCCATGGAAACTGTTCTTTCCCTGGAAGGGGATAGAAAGTTTTTGTCTTTTGAGTTGGCTTTCATGGACAAAGACCAAACCCTCTGGCTCTAGTTCACATCTTTATAGGCTGTTAATTTGCCAAAGTAGGGAAATTCAAAAGCGCAACCCAAATCTGTAACCAGGGGCTCTCTTAGGGAGTTGCTGAAATTTGGAGAAGGTGGAGGCTCACCCCACAGGTCTGATCTTGCCCAGCCTCCTGTGGACTGTGGTACTTCTCAGCACAGTCATCCTGTGAAGTCTGTGCCCAAGCACTGACAGAAGGAGAAACAACATTCACCAACAAATACTCACAGAGTGGAATCTTATGCTGTCTAAGATCCCTGCATTTTCAAAGAAAGCTTAAATAGACAGACAACTAATTAAAAAATGAAAGAGGAGATCACCTTGAATTTCATCCTGCTCATAGCAGATAGAATCATAATGTCTCAGGTAATTAGCTTTGCCTGAGATGATGATCACTCATTTTAGGAGTATATAAAATCTAGGAGTTGTGATGTGAGGCAACCTGCAACTCTCCATGCATCCTTCTAGAATTCCCTCTGTACACCTATATCTCTCTCTAAATCATACCTCCTCTCCTGGGGAAAGGCTCGCCAGAGCTTATCAGATTCAATTATTGCTGTTTCATATCAATGTTCTCATGTGAAATCAGAATACAAATAAGCCAAGACTACCTCCATACCCCCAAACAATTACAAATGCTGATGATTCACCAGTTATTCATGCCAGACCAATATTTTTCAGTATTTTATAGTTCATGAGTGAAACATTTCAGCATGTTCAGACTGAAATCACTGGCATGCCAGGAGGCATTGCATGGAGAAGGGTACTCTGCGTGGGGACACATGGCATACCCAGCAGCTGCCCTGCAATCACATTTGTCTTATGGACACATTTTGTGTTTTCCAGTAGGTTTGGAGGTGAAGGGTTAATAAAAGTTATACTTACTTTCAAGAAAGTTTAGCATCAGATGATAAAGCTAATCCAATTTTTTGCTTTGCTGCCACTGTATGACACACAATATACTTTGCCCTCCTACTTCCCCAGACTTTTCATCTGATGTAATTTTTAAATACACATACAATGAAAAATTATGTGGTGGTGTTAATTTTTTTTTTCTGGTGTGTAGAAAGAATTTAATTCACTATGCATGGATAACCCATTTGTTTATACTCAGGTTGAGAACAAAGCCAGCTAATAAGCTTTGCTGTCACCTTAAATAAATGGTTTCACAAGATAATAACTCCATGCAGCTACGCCCAAGGGTCATCAGCATTTTAAAAGACTCTTTATGTTTCAGAAAAAGAAGTCACACTGTAAAAGCCAGCAATACTGTGGGAGAGCTATTAAAAACTGGTATTTTGTTTCGATACCAAGGTTAAGATTTACTAGGGACCCATAGCCACAGAAGCTTTAAGCGGATCCCCCACCCCAAAAAAGGTGTACACCAGCAAGCCTTTCCTCAGCTTGGAGGAAGGCATGGCTGAAAATTGAGCCTTATCATGAACATATGTCCCAGCTCATTCCCCATGTGAAACACCTTGAGCTTGATTGCAGATAATAGTCATAGCTTGTTTGAGCTGACTTGAAATCCTGCTGAAAGGGCAGCTCTGGCTCCCTTGTCTTGTTTCTCTGTGCCTGTTTATTGCCTAGTGTTTGTACCAGCACTGCCAGATCCAGAAGTTGCTCTGAAATGAAAAAGGGTAAGTCTTTTTGTTAGATCTCCATATACTGAGGCCACAGGATCATTAGTCCCAGCTCAAGGGAGTAACTGGAAACCTGCAGTCAGAGGAACAGGAGTGGGAGATGACTTCCTATCTCTTTAGCAACTCCTTCATTTAGATCAGTGTAAGTCAATTTGTGAAACCTCAAGTGATC